ACTTTACAACATATTGCTATATAACATTAAACGGTTGAAATCGATGCACAAGTATAAGTGCCAAGTAAAATATTTTCTGCTGCGTAACCGATTCTAGGCAGAGTGTATTCTGAGCGTCAAGAACGAAAGACGATGTTTACTGTATTAATTACCATTTGGACTACTGGCAAAGCTGAGGACATTAACAAATGTCACTGTAGTGCCTCTGACTGGAAGGTCCTAATGTGCGTTCCACGATGGTGGCAGGATTTTGACATTTACTACCTAGATGTCGAATTCTGCCTGTGTCTGGAGGAAAATTCTAGGGCCAGCTGCTTTGATCGGCAATTTTCCGCGGTTTATCCTTTTCATACCTGGCGAATACCGGAGCAGTACCTTAACAATCAGACCACGCGCGATCTTTCCTTCCTCTCTCTTGTTCTATCTTCATCCTTTACACCCACAAGCACTACACTACCATAGTTGTTGGCAGAGCAGTTGGGAGCTTAGACCTAGTCCCGAGTGGATCGGTGCCATGTTGGTGGGAGATACTTGATTGGGGAAAATCTCCGCAAGCCGTCGTTAGTTGGCAGCGCCATCCTACTCGATGGTTGGCGTCGCCATCCAACGGGGAAGATCACCGCCACCTCTCGCGATAAAATCATGCACTACACATACAGGACTAATGACCTTATCAGTTGACGCGCCCGGAATCACTAAACAGTCAAAACTCTTTGTACTGTATAAATCTAAACAATCTGTAACAAGTATTGCACCTCAGCTTCTGGGTCAGTGACCCCTCATTTTGATCAGGTTTTTCGTCGTTTTCCTAATCCTTTTAGCAAATACTGAGATGGCCCCATGTTTTGCTTCTGGACATACATGTAACTTCACTATCTGTGTACGTTTTCTACTGTCCAATGGTAAATACACTGAGGTGACAAAAGTCATGGAATAGCAATATGCAAATATACAGATTACAATACAATATACAGTGTACAAAAAGGTAAAGGTAGGTTTCCATTTTCATTTTGACGCCGTATTCTATTAAGTGAGCATGTAGAGCTGCCCTGCGTACCAGGTTGTAGCGCTTCCTGTGTAATCCTGCGTATGAATTGTTCTCGGGTCGAGTGTAATCATAATCTAATTTGCTTATTTGGGTGTGATTGAGGTTTAGTATCTTCCCACCTTGCAAAATTGTAGAAAATCTACCATACGTTTAACAATTTACTACCGGGAAAATCAAGGAATAAAAATAAATATGGAAAATGCCATGATTGAAAATATTAGTGCTGTAAAGAACATCGGTACGGTAGGTGTACGGCAGGTGTACGGTAGATCGGCGCCAGATCGTGCCATACAGCGGGGGAATGATCACCGCCACCTCCCGAGCAAAAACCATGCACTACACTTATAGGAGTAATTATCTTGGTTAGTTGGCGTGCCCGGAATCACTAACAATGAATCAGCAAGTTTTCGAATCAGTAAGAAATTCTTAACCCGCATCGTCAGAGAAATCGGGATTCAAGAGGCATCCACAAATAAATGAATAACTTTAATTTTTGAAAATTCAAAACTTTTAATGAAAATGGCCTTTATTCTACGTGCTACACTTTCACAAAAAGTTTAAAATAATTATCAGCGTTTTTGAGAATATCTTGTGTAAGTATTTGTGGAACATTATCACAATTTCACACAAAATTACCCAAAAATTCTTAATATTTCGAAAAAACGTAAATATGCCTAATATTTAAGAATATATGCATTTAGAAATATTTTATCATATGGCAAGCGCACAGGACCCATAATACAGCAAATGCGTTCCAACGCATCACAATCACACGCACCAGAATAGCAACGCAAAAAAATAGTTGGTCCCTAGAGAGGCCCGTTAAGCTCCTGAATTCATCCACCGCAGTCAGACGTAGGAAATCCACAACTCTCCACCAACTGACGCACGGTCTGGGCGGCATCACACTCACAGTTTGGAAACGGTACCACGTCCCATATGAATAAGGAAGCGCATCTTCCATGTCCAGTTCGTATGCTGTTTGCGTCTTCCATAAATAATAAATAAATTTAATAATAAACACCTAACTCTAATATTGACAGGTTCAATTAAAAGTTAAACTTTTGTATTTTCTGATATTCCAGAGCTTTTAATTACAATTCGACCGTTACCGCTTCTATAGTGCACTTTTTTCAATTATAACAATTGAAGCCGCTTTTGATTGGTTGATTGATAACGAATTCGAACGCATCAAAGGTTAAGATCATAACTGCCGTAAATGTAGTGTATGGTTTTATCGCATGAGGTATCGGTGATCTTCCCTCGTCTGATGGCGATATCCTGTGTCGACATGCGCGTCAGCTTGTGGGGACCCTCCTCCAAGTATCTCCCATCACCGGGGCACCGTCCCATCTGGGACAAGCTCTAAGCTTTTGATTGATTGATTGATTTTAGTGTTTCCGGACGCGTCATCTGCTAATGTCATTAGTCCCGTAAGTGTATCACGGGAGGTGGCGGTTATCGTCCGCTGAATGGCGAAATCCGGCGCCACCCTACCGTCGGCTTACGGGGTTTTCCCCAACCAGCTTTCTCCCACCAGAGGGGCACCGCCCCAGCCGGGACACGCTCTAAGCTCCCGACAGGTCGCACGGCATGTGTGGTAGTATAGTGCATGTAAATGTGTGTAAGTACGGGGTGAGGATAGGACCAGGATAGGAAGTAAAGATAAGACAAGGATATGAAGTAAAGATCGTGTGCAGTACGCAACCTGTTTGTCAGGGTAATACTGCATGTGATTTTGGTCGATTTATTACGTCATTTTTCTATGTTTTTTTTGGGGGGGGGGGCATTTTTAAAGCATTTTATTGATCCGTAACAATGTTTTAGGTCATCAAAATCCGCCCCTACTGATGAATATGATACCTATGTTGTTTGTTGTAATTGAAGGACTCAGTAGAACACGGAGCTATAGCACATTTTTTGTGAAATTGACTTTTTAGCATTATATAAAACTTCAATTATTATTCTCTTAGTGTATTATTTTATTTAAATCCAGTATGGACTTATATATCAGTGTAGTGTGTTGAAGAATGTACCAAGTTATATGGGGGAAGTTAGGTAAAACCCTAATTATCTCAGAACTATGTCAATATGAGACAGCTCCTTGTTCTACTGAGCCCTTCAACTTTAGATAAGTGTATTGCATGAAATTGCTCTTACCTTTGAGGAAGTCAGTTTTGACAAACACACTTATTCAAAAATGAAGAAAGAAGGTAATGATAGTAATCCATGCCCCAAAAACTAGAGTATTATAAGAATCATAAGGGTAGCAAATGCTTATTATTTGTATGATTTTTCATGTAACAAGTCTGGGAATTGTGTCTTTTCCCTTTTATTTGTTATATGCTACATGGGCACGTACATTTGGGAATAATAGAGGCAATGTACAAAGGCTGATTGTATTTGTAATATTTCTGTATGTGCAATACTCATAAATGAACTTAATTTGGTGTTCAATTCATTTATATGGGTATTCAATTCAAGGTTTGACCAAATCAAGATATTAAAAAATGTTGCTATTTAAACATTAGCACATTGCATTTGTTTCCACTACAAGAACTCAAATGTATACATAATGCAGATAATTGCACTGAAATTGTTTTACCTTTGTTTATTTTTAATTTGATTTCAAAACCATACTAATATTATACTACTGGTTTCCTTTTGGTTGGAGATTATTTCTTAAGTGTCTCATTATTCTCTCCTGTTAGAAACAGTGAAATAATGCTTTTGAAACTGTTGGCGATTCCCTCTTACCAGAACATGAACTACATTTTGATAAAGACATTATCTTCTGCCAAGTTGCAAGTTCCTGATGGCATTTCAGAAAAAGAAAATCTATAGATTTAATAACTAAAGTAGCAATAGGAGGATGCTGATATCACAAGCTTTTATAGAAGAAATATGTACAGAAAATCACTAATTATTGACTCCAGACAACAGGAAAATTAGTATAAACACAGTATCTACTAACTAAACATCTATTGTTACCAAATTAGATTGCCTAAACATGAGTGTAAAACAAATCGCCAAGGAAATGATCATGACGGTATTCAACTAAAAAGATGTTGGTCTCTTTCATGATGGAATCATAACTATATGTGCATCCACACTATAAGAACCTATTACATCTATGCACACATTGCAAAGTTATTGTTTTTCAATCTTTATAATGTTACCAGGGAGGAAAATGTTAGGGGGGAACAAAAATTGAAATACAAGGACTTTCCTACTGGTCCCACCTCCCCCTACTCATTCTCCTGAATATTTTCAGGTCAGTGAAGATTAACTTTTCCCGACATTAAAAATCAGCACATGCATGCACACTCGTGCATCCACACACCTACAGATTCCCAGAGGTAGGTTATCAAAACATTTTTCTTAATGTAAATTCAGAAATTTTTCACAAAATTATTATATATATGCTGCAATTGTATTCTACTAACGCATACGTTTAACAAGTGTCTTTCACATCTAAAATATCAATTCATTATGTTGCTTCGGTAGTTCACATCAGAGCAGTTATTAGTGTTCCGGTAACAAAATTCTCATTTATAATTTTCAGAATATGCAGGCCAGTATACAGTATTATAAATGTACAAATTATTAATAATGGGCAACTGCAAATTTGTTGCAAAAACTTTGTAAAAGCTTACACTAAGCAAAATTCAAAAGGATGTTACATCTAGCCTATCAGTTGAACAGTTCATTTTCAGACAGGGGAAGCCATGTAGATGGAAGCATTTCTGTCATACCTCTAACAATGATAACCGATACAATTCATTGTTCATACTCATTTGTAACCTTTTTAGGGCAGGTTTTAATTTACTAACACACAGTAAAGAATTTGATTCTCAAATGTATGATTTTTCTTTGCATCTTGTTTGAAATTCAATACTTCGAAATTGGAAGAATCTACAATTGGCATTTGGGTATCAATAATTAGAATCTATTGTACTTTTGCCAATTTATTGTAACCTCTCCAACATCATGACAGGCACAATGTACAGTACATTAATAAAACACAGAGTTCAGAGAAACAATTCACAGGACATAAAACAGGTAACAGTACAAGAAGGGAACTAAAAAGATCATTGATTTTTCAGTAAAATATATGATAATTTATGCACTCAATCCATAGTTTTGGATCATTTCTATAATTTCAGTCCCACACAAACACCACAGAACATGATCCTAGGTACATCTTGAACACCTACACCTACCAAATATTTTAGTAATAAGTCCTCACTGATGGATTTTAGATTGCCTTCATGTACATTTTTTAGTACCTGCTGTAAACTCAATTTTCTCGTATGTTATTCTGCAAGTCTGAAAGAATATTTCCCTTTTATCCAATTTCAGCAATTATGTGGCAAAAATATATCAACAATAAGTCAGTCAATAATGTGTTGTTCTTTTTAAGCATATTCCTAGAAACACAACTTGAAGTAATTCTCCCTTCGCTCAATTTACAATTTATCTATTTACTCCCCCCTTAACCTTATTGAATTACATTCAATTTAGTACCACTATATTAATTTTAATATTTGTTACCAATATATAATTATCTAAACAGTGAGAACTATTGACATGAGAGTTTCAAATTTTAAGGTTGTGGACATATATTACAAAAGTTGTCCATTCTCCAACTGTGAGGATTATTACTAAAATCTCTTTCAGATACTGAATATTTTATTGCACATGCAACTATTCAAACTGAAACAAAGACTACAAAATATTTTTGTGATTTCCAACTAATCTCGAACAACGTGATTCACAATAATTACATTTCAGTAATGTACACACTTAAACTATACATTTGTACACACTGGTAAATCATTCATTTTATATACATATGACCAACCGTAAATGGAGAGTCAGCAGCATTGTTGTGAAATTGAAGGCACTTCTGCTACTCAACCAAGAATAAAATTAGAGAAATATAAATAATGAGATCAGTTTTTTAATTTAAAATTTCACCAATTTCATAAAAGTCTCTCTTGCTAATATTAATTATTAGCAATTTCAATAAAAGCATTTCACAAATGTGGTTAATTGTCTTTACAATATGAATAAGAGGCATTAGCATAAAAATATTTTAACATCACAGAAAAAGAAGAATCCAGTCAGAACATAGAGATGTAAACTCGCTGCTATTTACAAGGAGTTCATCCAACAAAATCATTCATTTTAGAGAAGAAAAAGTAAAGTGGATAGTAATTCAAAAACTTCTCAATCAAGCATTAATTTACCGATGTAACAAACACACATGCACGAAAAGAAAATAATATAAACAACACATAATCTAGAAACAACATCAGAGTATAAACGCAATTGGCACAAAAAGAACAAATGTTTTTGCCCCTTGTTATGTGCAGTAAATAAAAAAAATAATAAAAAAGTGTGGGGGTATCTGGTGAAAAATATTAAAGTAGCATTTGAAGAATTTTTAGAAAATAAATCAATAATGTCCCATGAATTTATTTAGTTTCAAAATCAAACAGTATGCTGACATGGCAAAATACAACAATAAGACTGACAAACTTATCAAGTGAGAATGAGAATCAACATCCGTTTTATTGAAGTTACTTTCCATGGTTTACGCTCAATATAATCTAATGTAAACAAAGCCAACCCTGTAAAATACTTGCTCATGGTAACATTTAAAATACAAATAATACATGCCAAATACATATTGACATTTTTGCAAGATGGACAAGCTCCAAAGAAAATATTATATTTTACAAAGAATTTCAACAGCTGGATATTGTCTCATTTTGGTTTAGTTACACAAAGTTGTATGTAGAGGATCTTCATGCTAGCACACTTAACACTAAGTACATTGCACATTTGTATATGCCAATTTATAATAACATAAGTAAAATGTTTCTAGAATATTAACATAAAATTGAAATACTGAATACCAATAGTCACAGAGTATGTAAAACTGCAGATGAATGCAATTACTGTAACCATTATACTATTCACTCAAATAATACACTACAACTTACAATCTGTAATTCATAAAACCATTTTCATATACAACATTTCTAAATATTTCACAAACAATGCTCTATAAAATCAAACTCAACTAACAATGTTTATGAAAGCTATCAAATTAGGAAAGAAAAGTAAAAATTAAAAGGCAGATTGCACAGAGTTTATAATCTTTAAATGACTGAATTCTCATTGTTCATATATTGTAGGAAATGTCATTTTAATATTCAATTAGTTATCACAATAATTAGAAAACTCGTGATGGTCCCATGTCAACTAAAATTGTAAAAAATTACACATAAGCAATTTCCAAACGTGTTAATATATTTAAAAATAAATAGATTAAGAATATCTCACTAACCAGAAACAAGGAATTGCAGCTTTGTGGCTTTCCAGATATCACTACATTTCTTAAACAATAAACAAAGAAAATTAAGTATTCCTTTTTAAGTCAACACACCATACTAATCCATATCAAACTCCTCAGATCCAAAAACACTCTATAACACATAATACTGGCATCAACACTGCCACAAAGCTCAAGTACAATTCAACAAAGACTTAGGACAATGACAAGATGTGAGATTTATATTTACAAGCTCATCTACAAAGTCTGTGGGTTTACTAATTTGACTAACCATTATTTTCACTGTAACTACATTTCATTCTAATCTTACATATGATTATAGTATTGCCTTAATATTTAAACACAAACAGCATGACTTATTACATTTCAGCCAGTATAAATTGTCTTAAATATGTAAGCCAATTACAAAAATACTGATCAATCACTAGGGCACATTATAAAACTTAATTGTAGGATCTCGTTAATAAATACATACCAATAAAAAAAAAAAAAATTAAAAAAAAAAAAAAAAAAAATCAATTCACTTGTTTTGTGAATAGTCATAAGTTTCTCAGAGAAAGTTTATAAAACTACTACTTCATATTCTTTACCTTTGATGGCCAAGTAAGAATTTTTACCATCTATTAATAAATTGTCGGGTATCACAATATAATCTTACAAATGCATTTGTTGTATTTGAACAAATCTACATTCCTTACATGACCAAACTAGAAGGATCCACAGAATTTTTTACTTTTCTGAAACCAGATTTCAATGTGCATTTGATTTGCATACCAACAAATACATCAGAACATTTACAAAATTATATACAAACTATGGATACCTCTAGTAATATCATGGACTTTAATATAAAGCTTTACTTCAATATTCTAAAAAGTGTTCTCAAACTTTTAGGATCATAAATATATTCAAATTAAAATATGCAGCCCTTTTTCAACCCTTTGTGCCAATAAATATCTAATTAAATACAAACTTAAAATCTTCTGTTTCGTAAATATAATTTAATAAAGTCACACACTATTAACCCTTTTATGTGGGTAAATGTAACCTAAATAAAGTACTCTGCACCTTAAATCTTTTATCAAATTACAAATTAAAACTTCCATAAAATGACATATTTTCTTCATTAAATTAGAAGTGGCAGGAATATCAAAAGAGCTTTAGATTGAACCAGCACTCTTACGATATCTTCATGTGTAAAACGTGCTTCATGCCAGTAATTCAGCACTTTTGGTACAATCTGATTCAAACACTCATTTCTTCAGTGTTGAAAACGACACTAGTAAGAATTATTCTTGTACCCAGGAGTGTGTTTTATATCACAGAATGTCCTGAATTCTATTATTCATACAGAAGTACAGAAAAAAAATTCTTATTATTTCTTTACAGGAATAATGCATTTTAGAGTCAAAGTAAATTCAAGGACTTGGAAAAGCATAACAAAACTTGCCAGAGCAGTGCAACTATTAGTATGCCAGTGAAAATTTCCAGTCATTGGAGCTGGTAGCTCGCCAATGAATTATAAGAACAATTTAAAACGAATAAAAAACATAATTTAATTTGCAATACTGTCATATGATTTTTTTCTTAAATAATTGAGCATAATTTAACAAAGTTTTAAAACTGAGTTCGCTGAGGACATGAGTTTTAGAGAACAGTTACAGGATATGTGGGGAGCCATACTGCCAGGCCAGGAGGGATTAGGGTAGGGAAGGGCCCGTGTTGTATTTCTTAATAAGTATTCTTCAACAGGACACCTTTCTTAACTTTATATTTTACTTTTGGAGATAAGCTACCCTACTCAGTATCCTAGTCGGATACAAAAAGTAACTCTGAATCAATACAAAATTCAATTAATGAAATAGAGCAAGAAATAATATGCCATGATAAAATTGAAGTGATTATTTAATTGTCTGTGAAATTTAATCTAAAGGCTTACCAATATTAAAATGTTTACCAATGCACAATACTGATTTCCAATGCTGTAATGCACAGTTCAGGGTCTGGCCATTTGGAGTTGGAACCCAGTATACAGGGATTTTTACTTTTTAAACAGTGATTCAAGTGATTACTAAGTGCGGAATGTTCACAAGAGTCCAACTAGTAACAATTAAGAGGCATTTTTGTTACTCTATATCTGCATTATATTTTGTATGTTATTCTTGATAATATCAAGAATATAAAGAAAGATTGGGTCATAAAATATAAGTATGTTACATACATTTTTTTAATTGCTTATTGAAGTATTTTGGGGATCATGAACTAATAAAATTCCAGATAAAGAAACACATTTAAAAGAAAAATGTTTCATAGTCTAAAGAAATCTGACAAAAAATATTTATGTGTTTTATGTAGTGTAGATTTTATTCTTTTTGTCATAGTTCTACATCAATAAAAACTCAATAACTTACTTTGAATTAATGTTCCCACAACACTTTTGTGATTAATAATCTGTACTGCATGATATTAACCGATTGCTTAAGACATAAAACCAGAATTTTCGAAAGTATTCTAATAAAATTCAAAAGGCAATGCATTTACTTTTATGTTAAGCATCAATTCAACATCAGAATTGAATTTTGACCTACTTGACTGAGAACATGTGGAACCTATTATTTATTTATTTATATATTTATATATTTTATCTCAGAGGTGCTGGAATTTATTCCTTGAAAATTAAAAATTGTATGACTTAGGAGCACTAATGCTAAAAATTAGCATACGCCACACGCAGTTTGAAAGCAAACCCACGAGTATAAAATACTTGTAAAAGTCTTGCACTGAAAACCTATACACTGATCATTTCTGATTTTGTAATTAGAGTTGATTACTGAATATTTATAAGTATTTAGGAAATATATTTAACAAGGAGCACCATTTATGCACTTCGGCATTTGTTCAATAAACCAGGACATATATAAGTCATCCTGACATAAAAGTTCTAATTAGGAAAGTACGTTTTGAAAGTTATTCTTTGACCTTCTTTGCTATCACAATTGTCTTTGTCTAGCAGTAATTTTTAAATATAATACAGAATTAATTGGGGACTAATTATGTAACAATTATTTCTATTATTTACACTCGTTTTGTTAAGGAAAAATGCGTTCCAGCTCTTTAGTTCTATAATTGTCACAGTTTCATAGCTTACTATAATCAAATTCTGAGACTCCACAATGATTAGTTCATTTGAGAGGCACAAAATTATGATGATATATGCTATTATATTGTAACACAACAAATTATGTGTGCAGAAGTAAACCATGGCAAAATATGAAAGGTAATTCTTAGGAGATTATACAAATAACAAAGCGCTTTCCAAAATTAAAATTATGCAACAGTGAGTTTTGTTACCAATACTTTGAAGATCAAATTATTTTAAAACAATGCTTCACACACAGAAATCATAAATCGAATGGCACAAAACCCAATATACGGATAGAAGAGAGGAAGGAAAATGAAGATTAGAGAAGATTGAGTGATACAAAAAAAAAGAGGGTTCAAGGAAGAGGGAATGAGATCGGGTAAGGATAGGATGGTGAGAGGAAAGGGGGAGAAAGGATGAGAGAGGGAGAGGAAAAAAATGACACAAAAACATACATGAGAGGACCATGACTGAGGACAATTTTCTTTGGCACGTATAAACATAATAGCACACACCATGAATTCAATGAGCATGAAATCAGCTTATACAAAACATGACTGTTTCAAGCATTAAGACTTACATAACCTAAAGTGGTTAAGGTAGCACAACCACACCTTGTTCTGAAGTTTTAGCTGTGATAGAAATATAAATGTACAGCATTAGATAAACAAACCAAGAAATTAATGTAGTGTTATCACAAAGCATAATGACAACAAATGACAAGGAGAATTCTAAGTATACTTTAACATCCTTCATTTATATACCAAAATGAAATGGCTCAATTTCTTTTCACTCAACCAATCAATCAGTTGCACTGTTCTACAAATCAAATTCTTGAAACAAAATGTTTACCATCATATATTTGAATTCTGTAAGAGAGCACTACCACCAGACAAATTTATATCGGTGGTTCTCCATTTCGGCAAGACCACGGTCCTGGAAATTATTTCTTTGCATCATACAACTTGCTTAATTCACATTAATCATTACAATTTTTTCATTTAAAATGTAGTACATATTATAGCTTGATCATTACGAGCATATTTGTCTTAATAATAAAACTACCATACAAATATTCAGCAGGTTGACAAATTAACCACTGAGGCCACTCGTGAAATATTGCAACATGTTGCTTCATTGGGATAATGTAGAAAAAGATATGATGTTCATTTTCACTTGATTTTTGGACTGAGCTTTCTCGACTCTTTCAAAAATGCTATTTTCCCTTAAAATTGCATGTGTGCATACAGCCCTTTTGTGAATACAAGAATACAATAAGATTTATGAGAGTACATTGGAAAACTACTGATGCACTAATACAGTTTTTTATTAATGTTTTACTAGATATAAAAATATATCAGACAACAATGGAATTACATGCATTTTTTCAATGACCACACAGGACCTCTTTATTGCACCATGATGAAAGATGTTATGTTTCAAAAATAAATTTTTATGAAAAAATCCCCCTACAAATTTATTACTTCGACAGACAAATCATGTCAGTATTCATTAATGTATACAAACCACATTTCAGATATCTGAAGTCTTTCCTGGTGCAACTGGAATCTGAAGATTCACTGTTATCACAAGTATTATTTATTTTTATTTTAGTATATTATTATATTAGTTGTATCTAATAACTGTATCTACCTAGAAACACCTTAATGAAATTATCTATGACTTGCTATCTATGGGTATTTTAGAATATACCCTTAAACTCTTATATTCATGAAAGGGCAAACTTAGCTTCAATTAAGTTCATAACATATCGTTGTATGTGTGTATATGCATTTATGTATACAGAAACACACAGGTTCATATATTCCAGGACAATGGTCCAGCTGTTGAGAAACTGAGTTAAAGGCAATAAATAACCACAAAGGTCATTATTGTTTTGAACTCTAATGTGGAATACAACAAGGCTATACATAGTTTCTGTCATCTAAAATAATCCAGAGTTTGGATTTTTGTAAAAAATGTGAAGTATGGCTGCAATTCCAATTCAAAAATATCAACACTTTTCTGTCAAAGCATCTTAAGAAGGTAATGTAACAGTTATAAAAATATAAAAAGTTATCACTTATAGTAGTTGCAATGATGACCGTATATGATCAGTATTTTCACTGCTACTACTTCATTGACAGCATGTAATATTTTTCCAAGATATTTTTAATTACCCGATATCATGATACCATGACAGAATATCAATAATCTACTTTTAAAAAATCCAAAACAATATGTGGCATGCAAATCGGTGCATATTTCAACAATCTACATAAGAAATCAAAATTTGTTTTTGAAATTATTGCTGACTGACAACTCCAGAAGTAAAAGCGTATAGAATGATCCTCAATATCCCTGAATGAATCTCTAAATCTGAAATAAGATTGCCTCCTTGTTTCTAAAATTAAGTTACAGAAACAAGAAGTAACAAGTGAAACATAGCAACAAAGAACTTCTTCAAAATCAATCAAACATTATCCCAACCGGATATATTAGTAGATGAGCTAGAATGCTAAATTCATTGTATATGTTGGCAAAAAAGAGCTCACAGTGGACGACATATTGGGTGCCCAGATAAAGCTTAAAGATGTAATTTGGAGGGTTTAGTAGATCCATGATGCATGAGGTCAGGACAGATTTACATTGACCAAACTTGTCTATATTCAGGAATGTCATGATATATAAAAGCAAGACCTGTCTTAAGCAGTCATCATTGGCTCTGGAGAAAATTAGAAAGAAAACAGACCAGAGGAAATTGGCAGTTAGCACAAGTGGATGCTGAATGGAGTTGATTAGTGTATAGGAATATCCAGTTTAATTTTGCCGTTTGCAATTGAGTTAAGAAAGCTTTGGTGTTCAATGCACATAAAGTACAAAATACCAGAAACGTTTTTTGCTCGCACGACAAATGAGCTAATGAACTCTTACACAAAATCTTTCAATTCCCAGCTTTTTTTTTAAATACCATTGGATGGTCCTTACCATCCATGGACTTCATTCCTTGCCAGATTTGGAGTAGCGATTCACACCTGAAGACATTCCAGAGCATGCATGAAAAACCATTTAGTGTTATGTGAAACAAATTAATGCCTTCACGAGATAAGCAACTCTAAATATTACTGATCTCAGTAATCTGATGTGAGCCTAAATGTAGAGAGTTAACTGATTCAATAGTGAACTCCACCAGACTTCTGCTTCTTGTAGCATGATGGATAAAAATCACAAATTCATCAACAGATTAATGACCATCTAATTCATGTTAAGCCACAAAATGTATCTGGCTGCTGACCAGGTGATTACTTAAAACAGGGAATATTTACACGTGTCTTTTGAAAAAAGAAAGGAAAAAACCCACACCTCAGTTCCATGAAAAAAGGGCTGTTAAAGGAGGAGACCAGTTAATTGAGTTGGCCATTTGAACAGCTCTCACTGTATATCACTATCTATGTAAATGTAGACAGATATACAAATCACATATGCTCTTATAGGTCTTTGAATGCAAGTTATAATGGGTGGTTGATTCAAGATCTTAAAATGCTTTGTAACTCATAACTCTCAGAGAAAGAAGACCCAATGTTCACAGAGTCTAGTGGTCTTATGAAAATAATAGTTACCTAATTCATTCCATAGCGTAGCTTAATTTCTGGTTTGTTTACCTGTTCTTAGTCTAATTTAAATAAATAAAATACAACATTAAAATAGAGAAAATAACAACGATGAATACATTTTAAATTGATCCTTATGGAAAAAAACCTTAGAGTAAGTTTCTTGAAGCTTTAATTCAAACCTAATTATTTTGTATATTATTGTATATTACATATTACCTATCTAATTCTCTAAGAAAACTAAAAAAATCTAGATACTGTGCACAGTAAATGAAAAGGAAAACTTATTGCATGCCACATACTGTATGAAGTAAATATAGATTAATCTACTTCCTTATTTAATGTAGAACACTGACTTGTTTTGTTATTTTGACTTTAGCTTAGATTGCTTGCTTAGATTAGTTTCCTTGCTTAGATTTCATAAATAACAAATTCCATAGTTTTCGGATATACATTATACTTTCACTGAGGAGTTGTTTTTTGATTACTGTGTCTCTAAAAAACTTGGAACACTTCTCAATACAAGTCTTTCAGTTAACTATGTGTACTACTCACAATAGTTTAAAAATATTTAATTACTAAATACATAATTTTGCAGCACCCACATAAGGTCATATGAAAAACTAACATAACAAAAGACAAAACATGCACCAAAATATATACCACTATTTTAAAAATTTAGTGCTTCAGTCATGGGCAACCTAACTGTTAGTACTCTTGCTAGACACATTCACCTTTCACTCAAGAACATAGCACTCCAAACACAAAGTTAATAGAACATCAACATTTTTACCTTGTAGGCCTTGGATCATTCTAGAGGCAATGAAAACTCTTTAACCCAAATTTTTGCCCATGTCTGGTCAGAGCTTCATATATAATTATTTCAGGTTATGTATTAGCAATTACCCTGAGAAGCCTTCAAGGCACACTAGTATGCCATGACATGTTGGCTAAAAATGCAGTTATAGGCCACTCTGCCATACTACAAAGTGAGAAACACTGCTAATGTTTATATAAAATATATGAAGCAACATACTGTTTAGTACTTCATTTCTTTTCACACATGGAATCCACTGATATCACACATCTTCATCACTATCCTCCATTTTAAACATTTTTTTGCCAACATCATCTATATGAGCATCACTACCTAAAAAGGAAACAAAATCACAAGATGAATTAGATACATGAATATAATACTTCCTCCTCTTACTCATTACATTCAGTTATTACCAGCAGCCCACCCAAGAAGGTGGGTGGGGGACTTCAACCGCCCCCTGAAGCCAATGATGCACATTCAATAATATAGATTTTACTGTACTTTTATATTCAGCATACTTACTATTACTTTTTATATTCAGCATAAAAGAAAAATTCTTTATAAGAAAACACGAAGTTGACTGGACACTATACCTATAGCCCCCCGCAGAGTAATATCCTGGGTGCACATCTGATTATTACTGCTCTTTGATATGAAATAAAATAATACTTTATATGTAATTTGTTTTCTCAATGCCTCTTTATAACTTTTACTTACATTCAAATATGCAAATTGAATTATTTCCACTAGTGAATAATTTTCAAATGAAATATTATTACTGGTGTGAACAAATTTAATCAGTTTAAACATGAGATAGTCTATTCTTTGAATCAGAAAGTGTATTATATCTAATCATTAATGAATTTTATTATTATTTACATTTTTGTTCATCATAGGAAACTGGGGCTTAGCTTTATCTTACAGAAATGTTTATTTTGAAAAATTTGGCTGAAATAAAGTTCATTTTGTAACAAGTTAAATGTTTTCTCTACTTTATTCTGAGCACGTTATTTTAACTAGGACATTATCTGTTTACAATGCAGTTTTGTTGGAGGTTTAAAAAGGTCCGGTCTTTTAATGTGCTTAGCTTGAAGCTTAGAGAAATATTATTTCACCGTTCTAGGGAGTGCTTATTGACAATACCAATTCTAGCGAGTGCTTAAATCAATTGCAGTATAAACATAAGAATTAATTTTGAAATTGCACAACACATTAAACACAATTTCTACCCAAAGATCTTCAATTTTAGATGATTTACCATTTTCTACACATTATCACATTCTTATAATACAGAATATCTCAGGATAAATGTCACAAACTTCAAAAACATGTAGGGGGAGAGATAACATTTTCCCAAAGAACATAAGGAGGGAAATCTCTTATAATGAAGTAAAAAATGTGACAAGTTGCCCGTGAACGGGAAGCAAATCATCAAAAACTGGTGTTTGTCCGGTGCATGTTCCAACACAAAGATATTTCATGTACCTGTGAAACAACAGTGCACTTTCCCAAATTTTGATACTTAATTTCTTTGACACTACAAAATTATCTTATTAATATACTGCACTAGCATTTGTATTGAGAATGAAAAAGTCATGAAATCATGATCACATACATACCTAATTGAGAACTATAATCACCACTTTCCATACGAAGAATGTAAGGTATAACACTATCAATTTGAACATTTCCTATGAGTCCGGCAAAAAAGAGCTCTTCCATTATTTTTGGTTGCAAAGCTCTCAATGGAGGTAGTCGTAGAAGTAGTCGAGGAAATCTGTCTCTATCTTCAGGAAATGTCTGACTAATATATTCTCTAAGTTCCTGAAATGCTTTTTCTTGAAATTTTTCCACTTGACGTCGCATAATTAAACCAGGTTGATCTACAAATTCAATACAAAACAATTCATTTCTCAGTTTTTAATAATAACGTTGATAACAAATCAATAGAATATTCACATACCTGAACTAAAAAGGGTAATTGCTTTAAGGTAGGCATATTCATGTTCATCTACTTGCAATCGGTTCATAGTGATAACGTATTCTTGTAGCTTACATATGTGCTCCGTTACCTACAAAATATCAAAGCAACGGTAGACAGAAATAACCATCTTTATATTCAAGAACACTGACTTAAAAACAGGATAGAATGGATTTTCAAAAATATACTCATTTTTTAAAGGAAAATTAAGCTTACTAAATTCCTTATTTCATTATTTACCAAAATTCATCTATTTGAATTTTTGCTAAGTTTAGGGAAGTCCTTCATGAACTCACAAAGGGGATATTTTTCAAATAGAGCTTATTCCCTTGAACATATTCCATCAATAAAAAATTGTGTGCACCAAGACAGATTTTGTTTTTCTTGTAAAAAGTTAGCAACTGCAATGAGCTGGTTATGATAGCAAACATCTCTTGTAATGTATTATGTTTATATTTTTAAAATAATGCAATGGTAAGAAAAAGTGACATCATACATTGTTAAAAATTATTTTTTACCTACAAAATAATCAATTTTGTGATATTTTTACCCCATTATGATTTTATGTTTGTAACTATTAATATGCATATAATTTAGTTTTTAGTTTTCATTCATGCCTGATTTTTTTGAGTTTATACCTTTTCCAGAAAAGCTGGTATACTGCCTTAGGATTTTAGAACAAAGAAAGAACATTTAAAGCAATAGAATTTTCATTATGAGATTTCAACAATTTATCGGTTAGTTTACATGGCAAAAGTAACTGACATTGATGATTTCTTGGTGTGCTATCATCCACTTTCCTGAATCAGTAACCAAATACAGTCTCCCATCAAACCACCATTTCCGGTAGCACCTCACAATCCTGGATATCATACTGGAGCTGCACTTTGGCTTCTTGTTGCTCAGAGCATCTTCCCACAAGGGCTATGAAATTATTAAAACATAAGTAGAGCAATGGGGCATACAGTAACCCTTGGAAACTGTCAACCCTAGTTGTAAATTTTATACTTAGAAAATGTCTTGGAAATCAAAGAGATTCTACATTCTTGAAGCTCAACCATACTGGGTCTTCCTCCTCACTGAGGAGTTCTGCAAATTGTTTGAATGGGATAAGTGTTCTTATTTCAGCACAACAAAGGCATTAGATTTGTGTGTATCAGTTCAGGGAAGGTGTCTATCCAAGTAAAAAAAACAAAAACAAAGAATTTTGATCCAAAGCACCAAAAAATTCATATGTGGGTTAGAATTTGTTGAACAACTTGTTAACCAGTTAGAAATTAGCATAATTTCTGTGAAATAACAAAAAATTATTGTTTTTCATGAAGTTAAACCAATAAAATGGACCAAAAAAACAACAAAAAACAACTGCATTTTATAGAACCCTCCACAGTTCAATAAAGTTCATGGGCAAGAGCCCATTTGGCAGTATAAACATTAAAAAAAAAAAAAAAAAATTCTTGAGTGTCTTTACTACGAAAGCCAATTTTTGGGGTATGACAACTGTCTAATTTTTTTTAAATACCTACACAAAAAATTCAGTTCAGGTTCCTCAAACATAGAAAAGCTAAAATTCTGCTGGGTCATATTATCATTGGTCAGGGTGAGTGGTGATTACATTTAATAGGGGTATGAAAAACATGTTTTATGATTCCAAACAATTTCAGTCCTATGAAAAGTGATTGTTAAAAAATTGTAACACTCAAAATAACCTTTATTCTGGAAAATGCTCTACAAGAACCAAAGACGTCCTATGGGAATTCCAAATAATTATAATATTCAATGCACCATGTAAGAACCTAGACAAACTCAATTTTTAACTTCTGTTCTGAATGTAGTTTTCAATTGTCATCAGCCTGGATTTTGGGAGTTGATTACCTTAAGATTATAATTTATCCATCTGCTTCAAGATAAAGATTAAATGGCACAAAACTGATGACACAGAAGACCACAACTGACTTCTATGCTTTATCGTTTTCTTTTAGGACAGCAAGTTAGTTTTTATATGGTAAAAAAATATTTAGTTATTCTACACTATAACATAGAATAGTATATATGGATACACAGAACAGTTCTTTACACATCAAAAATATCGAACAAGCTATGCTACAGTAGGCAACAAGAACAACAAAAAACCACCCTACACTTACAGGCCTAATGAGCTTAGCCATTGACGTGCCCAGAATCACTATCAATCAATCATGAAAAAGTGGATAAATCGTGTTCCTATACATAGTAAATTACTTCCTCAGACACGTGTAGTCAGAATTTTGTAAGTCCTGGACACCGAAAAATTGAATAAAGGCAAAATGTCTGTCTGGTCAACATTAGCTCCTAAACTGTTCACATGATTTTCAACATTGGGATTCCAAATATAAATATCCCCAACTAACTCGAGGCTTCCCAAGTTTGAAACCAATATGATTTTAGGAGGTAGTTTCAATGAAACCTCAAAATTTTCTCAAAATTAGCTTCAAATGCTTTTAGCGTACTTTGCCCTCAGATAACATAAAGAACCCATAATTGGCGCGGGTCAAGATTCCGTTGAAATTTCTTGATTTTTCAAAAATTTCGTAAATTCAAATTTATTTTGTGTTCCTACAATTACAATATTGAAGAGTGTGGTTTTTCCTTAATGAAATCTGTTCTTCAGAGAGATCTTGATACATAGCCATGCACAATCTTTTGAAAATGTGTGTTGTTTTGATGTAATTTTGGATGCAATATAGGTAATTTTTTACACAATAATTTTCTTAAAAACTGTTCCAAATATTTTCTTTGAATTTTCTAATAATATTTTAGGGCAGTACTATCAAACAATGGTGAAAAAATGGTGCTGGTCCCATTTCCAGCGATCTCTGTACTTTCAAAAGCTGCAAAAATTTAACATTGCAAAAGAACAATATTGAAGATAATTTTTTTTGCCTTAAATAAAAACTGTTCAAAAATCAGATCTTAAAAAAGTGAAGTTAATGCAATTTATATTTTATAAAACATTATTTCAAAACATTATTTCCACGGGTAGAGTGCAGGCCGCTTAAAAAACTGGCGCGGGTCTCATTTGCGTTGAACTCTTAATTTTTAAAAATAGTAAAAGTTACAAATAACACAAGGAAGTATGTGCTGTGGGAGCACCACTAGTTTTTATTCAAATTTGTGCGTTTTTCAATAGAACCTCAGAATTATCGAAAATTGCAAATGGTTCATTGTTTTTAAAGAAAGGAAGGTTTTCATGCCGATTCTGACTGAATTGGCAGAACCGTTGAACGGTTATTCAACTGAAGTTGAATTTCTTGCTACACCTGAATGCCCGAGTTTGGATCCAATAATTTTTGTGGATTCTAGTACCATA